GAACTGCCTGAAACGTCAGGGGCTAAAATCCCGATAAAATCCAATCTGACTGAGGAACATGCCATGTATGCAATATGCGAATGTGAATGCAAAATGCGTCGAAACATAAACCAGATGTGGGGACCGGTTGGTCAAATTTTAGGGTGCAACATCTGCCTATTGTACAAACTTCGTTAAGTGTTCATTCGGATCCTCAGTTGCATTTCCTGAGAATTGGTTTTGTTGTACAGCTGACAGCAATGACGGTTTTAGTTCGAAATCAGTTCGATTTATAGCTGGGGCAGCTATGCTACTTCTAGGCTCCATTTGAGAGGGTGTAGTGTATGCCTTCAGCGGTTTGTTTTGAGGTCCTTCAGCCTTCTTTGCTTCTTCAACAGGAGGATGAGCTAGAAGATCAGGAATGTTGTGTCTTTGTTGATATTCGACGATGCGCCTTCTTAGATGTAAGAAGCGCTCTAGTTCAGCGATTGTAGGTTGTAAGATTTCGCCTTGTGAGCGAGTACTTGGCATACAATCGAAGAACGAGTAGAGGGAGAGAGAATTGTTAATCTAGTCTATATTGTGTAACAAAGGATTACACTATTGACTATACGGGTCCCCGGCAACGGCGCCAAAAACTTGATCGCGACTTTCTATGTCTAACAAATCTAACTGCAAGTGCACAGTCTATCGCGAGTAATAATAGATATCGATCCCACAGGGACTCATAATTAATCTAGTATTATCGGGTGTTACGGTGTTTAGCTAGGTCGGTTTGGTTTCAAGTTGAATAATGGCAGAATAAATGCGTAAACTAAAGGGAACTAAGGTTTTACTTAAGATATGAATTTATGAATCGATATGCAATAATTTTGTTCTTCGGGGATTTGACAACTTATTGGCATATTAAATGTTTTCAAACTTAGTTTAAGAAGAAAATAATGATTTAAAGACTTTTGTCTCACGATGGTTGTTGACGCTAGTCGCAACTCTAAGGCGGAACGTATGCTTTCGCTATCCCGTTCGGGGTTAAAGTTACCTTTTGAAAATCTCTAAGTTCTAATCCTTTTTAAAGCGCTTTCGCTGTTTTTAAATCGAATGCCTAGTTTTTACTATCTGGTCTTAGCCTCAGCTGTCGCTTGTTGGTTCGTACCTTAATATGGTTTCCCACTGTCGTGGCAAAACCACCGTAAATAGCTTCTCACTGTCGTGACAAAGATTTATTTAGAATTTTGATTAAAAACTAAAACCATAACTGAGTTTTTGAAAAGAGAAAAACCACGCCAATTATTATCAAATTCCATCTGAATTATTATTACATATCGATTACAGTAGTTTAGCTAGACATGGAAGTAGAAATGGTAATACATAAATAAAAACAGTAATTAATAACATGCATCATAATGAAAACTGAAATTACGATTAAAATTGAAAACCTGTAAATATTCCAATTGGCCTTTGGGCAGATCCTCCACAAATGTTGGCAGGATTCTGGTCTTGGTGCCAATTGATGTCCAAGGGAAATGGGAATTACAAAATATCAAAGAATGCAGAGAAGGAAAAGAGAAACAAATAAGAATAGAATAATGGAAAGGTTGCTCTGAAGACGAATTGGCAGCACTTCGTTGTCTTGAATGCGGCTCTCTTTTTTAGGTCCCAACCTCTTCCTTTTATAGAGGGAGAGTATCTAACGGTTATTCCTTCAGGAAGTGGGTTTGAGGCAGAAAAATAGGAGTTAGTGGCCACACTTTTGGTCTTTGAGGGGAGAAATTTGCACGTGACTTCATTCTGCCACGTTCTGGCTGCATGACGGTCGTCATGGCTGTGTGACGGTCGTCACATGCATGACGGTCGTAACAGCTGTGTGACGGTCGTCACATCAGTCAGGCTCGTTTCTACTGGTTTTCACTTGGTTTTTCATCCATTTTCCACTTGTTTTTGCTCCTTTTCTTCATATTGATTTGCTTGGACATGTTCTTCGAATACCTGCATAATACTTAGACAAATAGCATGGAATGCCCCGAATCCGGAGTGAAACCGGTCAAACATTAGTTAAAACACACGTCATTTTATAGATATATTTTCGCGTTATCATTTTACCACGGGCTAATCTCAAACCTATCAAGCTTTTATCACAGACTGAGCTTGAACCTAAAGAGGGGTTTGATTGCATAATGTTCAATCCAAAGCTTTTACGGGTATAACTTCTAACCCAAACAAATACCTAAATGGATAATATTCAACCAAGGTGCATACAAAAGATTCCCTTGGTGAATTTATAATTCTACCCTTCCAGAATTACACAGTATCCTCACTCACAAAAAGACTTTCTCAAATAAGCACTTCTGCTAAAACAATAGTGAGGGAAAGTTTAAAAGAAATTTTTAGAGAGACAGAGAGAGGGGGGGGGGGTCGATAAAACAATTCTGGATGAAATGAAATATAGCCTAGAGGTTGGCTCAAAAAGGAAATTAATTTTAATGCATTTTAAGACAGTCTAATCGATTAGAGCTGAATGTTAATCGATTAGAAACTTCAATAGTAATCTATTAAAAGTTCCAAAAAGGAAAAAATATCTAGTCGTTGTACATCATTAATCGCTTAAAGTTAAATCTTGAATTGATCTAATCGATTAGACAAGTGCTTCAATCGATTAGAAAAAGCAAAACTTTGTCCATAGCAGTTTTGATTGCTCACAATTCATCTAGCACAACTTCAAGACATTTTAGAAAATATATTCTTGAGAAAAATTAGTTTGAAAATAATTTTTATTATGTATGTGTTTTATCCATGTACTTTTATGAGGATGCCTTTTTTTCTTTACACAATATTCACTCAAACTAAGGCAGGGCTTGCTTGCTCTTCAAGATTTTGTCAGATGCTTTCTTTTTGAAGGCACTTGCTTTAGTTCTCTTGAGATGAGGCTTGAGCTTATTCCACTTGGTTGTCATCATCGGATAGTCAATCCCATCAAATCCTAATACTTAAGTTTGCATCTTTATTTGTTTAAGTACTTATGTTTTACTTGTTAAATAAGTTATCATCATGAATAAGTTGCTATCATATAAACTTCAACAAAAGTTGTTGTCCTTGTTAAATACATATCACCTGCAAAATAAAGTTCCACATAAAAGTGGTTAGATCTGCCTTAACTTAAATTCGTGGTGATTTATAAATGTGGCTCAACAGTAGAACAAAATCATTGGATCATAAGTTCTTAAATTATTATAGGCAAAGCCAAGGAAGAATAATGTGTATTCGCGACAAACTATTGTGCAGAGAAGAAATGCAATAGTTTGGGGGCAACATAAACGAAAGAGCAATTGATATTATTTACTGTCACATGCTTATAAAAAAAATGACAAGTTACTCGTCATGAATCAAGGCAGACTAAACTGGAACAATGGTGACACTAACAAAAACGCACTTGTCTGTGGGCTTCTCACAATTTTCTTAGGTGCAACATATATGTATCATTCTCACCGTAAAAAATAGCCAAGTTATAATTGGTATTTGTTTGAGGGTTGAAAATAACATGTTTATAGGTGCAAACATATTTATTTGCCAAGAAAGTCTACTACATAAGTCTCAAGAATTTCTTGAGGACAACTATCATAAAACCTAATGCATCATCTATGCTTTACTCTAAGTTTTGAAAAACTATTAGCTTAATGGGTTGCTTCACAATACACATGTACGATACAAACTTCCATTATTTGTCTTAACTCCTTACGAATCTGACGAAGTAGAGACAAACCTACTCTAGTTCTATGATTCTTCTTAAAAAACGCATTATGAATTTTCTTAGAGTCTATCTAAATTTCCACCTTTTGATACCCTTTAAGCTTAGTATTCTAATAAGTCGTGTTGTTTATAATTAAACCACCACATCCTGCCATGCTGCTTTGACTCATTATTGCATTTGTATTGAGTGTGACCCAATTCTAATTTGCAAGGATCCGTCTTACTCACAATATTACTAGCATTTTCATTGCAAATTTGTGTTGCAATCTCACACTCAGTCCATAGTGTTGGACTTTTTCAAGTATGTCGTTTACAATGTTATGTGGTGTTACATAGTTTGCAGCATACATGCGTTGATTCCTCCAATGCTAGATAGAATGATAAGCAATAACCCACAGTTCCTTCCTGACAATTATCTCTCATGTTCTTGTTTATGCTATGATTCATATTATAATTCAGCTAGTCATCAACACTCAATCTAAAGAATTTATACCACTACATTTGACCAACGAGAGACTATATGATAGCCTAAACCCATAATTGCATGTATATAACTTGTAGAAATTCAATTGAGATGTGAGACAATTAACTTATTGAATCAATGGTATGATTAATAAGAAGCAATATCTTAGTTTATTTGGAGTGAAAGAGTGGCTCTAATTGAACAACATCACATTCAGTTTGTCTGCAATTTTGAAAATGGACAACCAATTACAATTTTTTGTTAATAAAAAAATAAAAATCAATTTTTTTCTCCTTCATTATCACCATTACCTCCATAATTCTAGGTTAAAAAATTTAATTTAAAACAAATTTAAAATAACAACACGTTATTCATTGCTTTTAAGAATATGACTATAAATGCTTTCCTATGCTTTCAGTTAAGAGGATAAAAATACATATTTAATCCAAAAATAAATATCAGAAACACAATGTATTCAGAATTAATTTAAATCATGTTTATGAATAAGCAATACTAAACATTTTATATTTTTTTAAAACAATATTTTCAATTTTACATTACATAGTCATAGCCAGTCAAACATTACCGGTGGCGCCGGTCATCGGTTGATAAACCTGTCTCTAACCTCAAAAGTCTTTTGTTTTTTCTTTCATTCTCTTATTGAGTCCTTTGAACTGTACGGAACGGTTTGCTGGGTTCTCTGAGTTATCATCTTTGTTGTCTCTGATCCACCCAAAAATCTCAACTTTCTTCAACTATTCACCTCTACAATTTTTGGGTTCTGCCTATTTTCTCAATCTTTGTTTACTAGCAGATGTCAACAGTGAGTTTCTTCTTTTTCTCTCTCCTCTTTACCAATTATTTTGATCCATGTTTTTTGTATACTTTTATGCTGATATAGGGAACTTTAGTTTCAAATCTCTTGCATTATGCTGTAATCTTTTTCTCTGTCAATTTTTTTTTTCCCCTTTCAATCTCTTAATTGTTTTTCTGATGACTTTATTATAGATATAGTTGACCAAAATTTGATTCATTTTTTAGTTTGGTTGTTCCAAACTCCAGTATGCTATATTCATCTGCTGATAAACCAACCATAAGTAACTTATTTTGCTGCTTATTTGAACCATGATGAGGTTATTGCTATGGAACACCGACACTTCAGATTGAAACATATGATTTACTATTTATAGTCTTTGAGGTGCAATAGTGTTTGCACTTAGTCTTTTGGAAAAGGTATGTGCATGAAAGTAAAAATGGAAAAGTCTTTTCACTTGTTGAGAATTGATGAAAAACTGCTTTTACATGAAAAATCTACATGTTTTAGGAATTCTCGAGGGAAATGAATGGCTTGAATTGAATAGTGTATTTTGGGTAATATTTAGTTTGATTTTGCTTTTTGGATTTTGTTTGGAATCAATCTTAGAATGGTTATAAATGAATAAATGGAGGAATATGGATAAATTAGTACCTTGTTGTATTATTTACCTACTATTAACTATGATTCTAGTAGTACGATAAGCATGTTTGTTAGCGTTTGATACTTTATGCTCTAAAGCACCGACTCCGACGCGGATACTAGGACACGACACGGATACTCCGACACCTATAATATTAAAACATAGGACCCTGGTACCACTAAATATATCATAATATTTGAGATTCATTTATCCATTTTTTATTAAAAGAATTAAAAATATTCAAATCAAAATTAATGTCTTTAAATTATTCATTTATAACATTGTTTCAATACATGTTTAACCCTTTTAGATGTGTGTAAGATTTGTTTAAAAAATGTATAAGGTGTGTTGAAGCAAAAAGATAAACAATTTCCTTTTGAAACATGGGTCTGAATTGTTTGACACGTGTCGTATGAGTGTCATACGGATGCCATACAGGTGTCACACCTATTCAAAGAGTGTCGAAGCAAAGAAAAAAAATAATTTTTTAGGTGGATATTTGTCTGACTTTTTTGACATATTTGACATATATCATATGGATGTCATACAAGTGTCGGAAAGTGACACGTGTTGGACACCGCGATATACTTTCTCCTAGAGATGTTCGATCTTCAAAGCTTGTATGAGGGTCTATTTATTGAAACTTTACTTAATAGGATCTCTTCAATGTGTCTCAATTTTACAGCAACGTTCTCATGTTCCAAAGTTTGGCAATTGGGAAGCTGAAAATGATGTTCCTTATACAGTGTATTTTGACAAAGCCCGGAAAACTCGACCTGGCACCAAAATGATCAATCCGAATGATCCTGAGGAAAATTCAGATTTAGATCTTCAAAATTCATCTTCTGCTGATGTAATTCCTCCAAAACCAAGAGTTCACTCAGAGAATATATCTGAAAAAGGATCAGCGAGATCAGCACATAATGAGTTACAAAAGAACAAGGAGGATGGTGATGTTAAGCAATCTGTTAACTCACCGGCTCGCCAAGAAAATTCAAACAACAAGAGTACCAGCGATTCCATCCATCGTCCTGGAGTTGGTTCTGCTGATAACCGCAGAAGACCTTCAAGACAAAGTACTGCTGGCTCGGAGTATAGTGTCGAACGTTCACCTCTTCATCGTCAGGCTAAAACGCCTGGCAGAGATAGTCCTTCTTGGGAAGGAAAGAACTCATATGAGAGCAGTCATGGTACACCAGGAAGATCTCGATTGAGATCAGTCAATCGAGGGGATGAAACTGTTAGTTTTCTTCTTTTATTTTGTTGTCTTGATCTATCACGTATTTCCTCCTTTCCTTTTTAACTGTCTTTAAAAAGAAATTGTACCGATTTATTAGTCGTTTTCAAAGTTCATGCAGCATTAACTATTGTTTTGTCAATAATTTATCTATTTATCTTGTTTGTGTAAAACAACTTCAAACGACTCTGAAAAAGGAACAGGAACAGAGACATTACATGAAATGTAAAATCTTTAATATATATTGCATCAACCATTGCAATTTTTTTTTAAACCTTTGACTTCTGAATCTTAATCAAACTCTGCTTCACAAATGATTTCTGAGTTTTTGTATGTTCTATGACTTTGATTTGGCAGCCTGATAAAAGTGCTGCTGTTCCAAAGTTTGGTGAGTGGGATGAGAATGACCCTGCATCAGCTGATGGCTATACTCACATTTTCGACAAAGTGCGGAAGGAGAAACAAGACACGGCTGGAAATGCACCAGGCACACCCAACGGGAGATCGTATGTTATCCGAAACCAACCTGCAAATGACAAAGCTCAGGTATACTCGCAACACCTGTTCATTAAAACGTAATAAGTTGTGTCACCGATATGATGCTTCATTGTTTTTCTTTGTTCTTGTCCTTGCTTTTCCAGGGTTGCTGCTTTTTCTGGGGCAGAAAATGATTATTGAAAGTGCAAGTTTTATTTGAAAAGAAAAGAATAGTGTTGTGAACAGTCGTGAGGCATGTATCACTCATAATTTGACTCCTTTATAACAAGGGGTGTACTTTAAAGGGTAAAGTGCAGAATTATAATCATCATTGGTTGAGATTTCAGCGATTTGATAGTTTGTTATGCAGGTGCTAATATTTCGTTGCAGTTAATCTGCACGTCACTCTTCAAAGTGCACCCATTGTTTTAGAGGATCTAAATTTTACTGTTTTATATGTAAATATCAAAGGCGCTCTTTCATGGGGTGAAACATTGTCGAAGTGCCTTTGTCTTGAATTTGCATCACCCTGTATTTTCCTTTCATGTGATCAGTAAGCTCAATTTGCACAGAAGATTGTGATCTTTTGTGTATGTAACTGTCATGCTTTGGATTCAATTTATATGTATTTAGCTGAGATCTATGATATTTGTTACATAATTCTTATATGATGACTGAATGATGTGTGATTCTGGTTCTATTATGTTGATCTTGATGCTGAACTACTGTGGTTTAACTCAACTCCATTTCAATAAAAAAATCCCCCATGCCATTCTTTACACTTTATTATTTGACTCGGGCACTTACTTGATCTATACTACTATTGTGCTAGATTATGCTGTACTTGTAATGTACATTTCTTAGCATTTCATGAAGAATATTTCCATTAGAATTCTTGAATAGTGGAAATTTTGCTCTAAAAATTCAATCAAAACTGTAATCAAGAGCATTTGCCAAAGGCGATAGATGTGTAGGAAGAAGGCAATAAAAAAAAAAAGTTGACACTACCATCAAGTCCTAAACCTCCACAACTTTATGGAACAAGATTGGTTCTGCTAACCGAAATGGTCACATAGTGTTTTGAAAGACTCAAAAAAAAAAGGATCTTAACCTGCACACCAAAAAAGGGATAGTACAGTTGTATGAATATAATAAAACTCTATTATGGTTCCAACTAAGCTTAGATTGTTTAACGAGTCCAGAAACTAAACTTGTTTTCTGTGATCAGCAAATTCACTTGTAAAATGAACAGAAAGAAATTGTACGAAATTCTTATCTCAAATGGTAAGAAACTATTCAATTTTGTTGAAAGGATGAGATCAAAACTTGAAACTCCTGAGACTGTTGATGTTATTAATAGAACAAAAATCATATAAGAGAAAGAATATAATGGGCGATCCATGAGAAGGCTGTATAAAACTTGAAAGAGAAACTAAAAGCAAGTAAACACTGTTATTGAAATTGCCAACAAAGACAAAGAACACTGGTAAGTAAGCACAAGACCTGAAACATACTCTTGCTCTCAATCTCATGCTGAGTATTCTTGTAGAAAGAGAAACACCCAGAAACTATTTTCACATGATTGAACTTCAGACAATACCCAAACTTAACCATTCCACATTATCATGCAATACTTGAAAAGTAAAAACAAACTCTACAACAATAGTCCATCTTCAACATCACATTCTAGCACTGTTAATTTGATTTGTGAACCGAACCGAAACTCATCCGGGAAGAATTCACAATTACAATATGAATTTGAAAGTGTAATGTTAATATGTTTACATGAAAGTAACAAGTCAACAAATCAGAGAGTGAAATGGGTAAAAATGTTGTAAAAAGTAGAGTTTAAAACAAGGATACAATAATTCATAATACAACAAACTAAGATAAATGAGTTATCAGGCTCAACGCAGCATCAAAGTTTCTCAGTCAACTTAACCATGAAAGAATTAAGAAATTTAGATTCTAACACAATCCAAGATGACTCAAACAACTCATGGAAAAACTCACTTTCAACATCCTCGGCCGCACTTCTAAATGCAACCCCGAATGCATTCCCTTGAGCAGCAGCCAAACGAGGCCTTCCACAAACCCCAACAATAAGAACTTTATTTGGATCCTGGGACACACAAGCACAAATCAAAGGCTTCATCCTTGCACCCTTTTCTCTCAAAGCATCCATTAGAAAATAACAGAACTTTGTCAAAGCTTGAGGGTACCCCAACAATTTAGAATCCGTTGAATCCTCGAGCTTCACCCATCGAAACTTCCTTCCACTTCTAATGCAACCGCTTTTCATAATCGCAAGACTTCCCTGCCTCAAAATTGATCTCTGGACCTTAATAGCTTGTTGCATCCCAGCTTTGAGTTTATCAACATTGTTCATAGAAAGAGCATCAAACGCCACATTGAATTGAGTCGAAACACAGGATCCATCTGAATTCACAAACGATTCCAACAGTGCAGTAACACCATAAACAACATCCGCAGCAGAAACTCTTGAACTATAACCATGGACCCGCAAAAATCCACGGTAATAAAAATCAGTAAGCCCATATTCAGGTAAAAATTTCTCAAACTCACGTTTCATCTTTCTCTTCACCTCAACATTCATATACTGAAACTTCTGTTGACAATCAATAAGCGCAAATCCCATCCTCGCCAACAAAAGCTTCAATTTCTTCATCCCATTATCACTCCAAGTCTTCAACTTCGTAGCAATATACGAACTACAAAGCATTGAATCAAACAAATTCCACTCCTGCAACAGCATAAGCTTTGGTTCATCCTCATAAGCAATTCGCGACGAATTTGGCACCCTAATTTTCGTCCCATCCTTAAGAGTAACAGAATTAACAGCATCCAAATTACCAGAACTGTTTATATATTGCTCCAACTCCATAACCCCATCACTATACCTCTCATCACTCAGCCTCTCGTGAACAAATTGATCCGTCAATGCAACACAAGCTAACCAAAGCAATTCATCCGTATTCTTCCTCAGAAAATGAGCAAGCTCGTACATCAAACAACCAGAAGGCTTCCCATGAAATGTTCCCAATCCATAATACTCTTTCTTCCTCTTTCTATACAACCTAACCGCATCTTGATGTTCTTCTTCATCTTTTTCCCCTTGTTCGTTTTCTCCATCTTCCGAATCCCTCTTTCTTTTCCTTTTATTTCTCATTCCATCGGAATCTGAATCTGTATCCGAACCGGACTCGGAATCAGAATCAGACTCCAAATCCGAATCAATCGTTGTTGAAGCATTAGCTAAAGCGGTAAGAGGAAACTCGAAATCATAAGCCAGATCTGCTTGTTTCTCATCCTCTTGAGTAAAGAGAACAACGACAGTGTCGTTTTGGTCACTGAGATTATGAAGATGAATCGGACGGTGACTATCAATAACGAAGATACGAGCGTTTGGACCTAGCTTTAAGATTTTGCGGAGATCCTTGTGACAGCCCCAGTTGATTAAAACGACAGAGATAGGACCGTCGTTTTGGGTTGAAGTTGCGTAACTGTGAATCTCGCGGAAGGAAGAAACTGGATAACAAGCGTACTGAATGGAATCGGATTCGAGGATTCGGAAAATGATTTTGAGTGCGCAGAGAGAATCGACATCGGAGGTTGAAGGGAAAATGAGAATGGGGGAGGAAGCGGACGAGGAGTGTGCCGATTGGCGGAGTTTGGCGTAGAACGAGTCGACTCGGTGTTCTCTCACCATAATAATGAGAATTGAGAGTGAGAAATTGTGAGAGAAAGTGGCTATGGCGATAAAAGGGGAATTAGGTTAAGGGATTTGGGGGAAAAGGTGAGGTTTTTGTTGCTGAGTATGGGAAATTTGAAATTGAGGTTTGGTTCTTTATGAAAATGGGAAATTTTGAAATTTTGGGAGGCGCGGTGTGAAATTTTGGCGGTTGTTTTGATTTTTTGGGATGCTGATTTTCGTGTTAAGTTTTTTGGATTTGAATGAAAGTGTTTAATTGACACGCGGGTATTATTTGGGTGGGGGATATAGTGTGGGGAGATGTAGGGTAAGGGAATTTGTTGGATTTAGATATGGTTATGGATGATTGGATCTTGCTTTTAAAGATTGAACTCATAATTAATAAATAAAAATGGATCTAGTTCTATAAATTTGAACTCATGATTGTGAGATGAATTATAAACCACTAAACTCAATTTTGATCCTAGGTTAATTTTGCTTAATTCAATTTTGGTTCTACAAGTCTTAAAAATATCGTATGAAAGGGTTTAAGATTTCTTACATTTTACCGGACAAATAAATGTTGAATAACGATAAACTTTTCTTGTTTTAATGATTTTTATTTATTTTATAAATGGAACAAATAACATGCTTTTATTCTCAAAATAAATTAAAGAATAGTTCATATCAATTTTTTTTTATAAACCACTAATATATTAGTAAAAAGTAAAATTGTAATATAAGAGGGGACATCAACCAAAATCTTCAAGAATAACAAAATCTATATTATAATTCTTAATCCATTTTGAGAAAAAGTAGCTCTTATAATATAACCAAATATTTCATTGGATAGACAATCTTAAGTTGGCTAATTTGTAGGTACAATAATTTCTTTTTTTTAAAATATATGAGATATTATAAAATTTATATTATTAGTTGAAGTGTAGCATCAAAAGTAAGTATTTTTTTGTTAGTGTGATATTATTGACTGGGCTCAGGCCTGCCCATCCGTCGGGCAGGCCCAGCCCAACGCTATTTGGGAAAGACCCAAATTGCCCAGTGTCGGGCACATGTTCTCCCCGTCGACCAGACAGCTCCCTCATCGAGCAGGACAGTTCCTCCGTCGGGCCGGACAACACATCTTCCACACGTTCTCCACGTGCCCCCTACGTGGGAACACGTCATCATCCAACTACCCACCTCCGAAAGAGCTGGTCAACCCACCTTTCGGAGATCACGAGACGGTTGAACTAGGACGAAGACCACGTGCTGGTCTTCTTTACGCCACGTAAAGCCCTAACAGTAGGGCTGACAATGAACCGAACCAACTCGAAAATAGTTCGGAATTCGATTCGACAATTAAATCGTTGAACTAGGTTCATGAACCAAATGAGTTGAGTATGAGCGAAAAATTAAGTTCGTTAACTAAATGAGCTGAACTTGAACTATACATAGTTCGGCTCGTTAGGTTCATGAGTCAACTCGATTACATATGAGAAGAATTATACTATTTTTAAGATTAGATTTAAATATTTACTCCAAATCTTAGACAAATTTAATCTTCAATTTAGTAGTTTTTGAATTAGACTTTCAAATGTATCTCTTGAAAGTTGTGTAGGTTTTGAATTAGTAGACTTCGAAGATAAAGTTTAATTTCAATATGATAATTTTTATTTTATTTTAATATTTTATTTTAAAAAAATATATTTATTTAAAATGTCAAATATACTAAAAAATATATAAATTTTAAAAAATAGTTTTTAAGTCCGTGAATCATGTGAGCTGAACCTAATGAGATGAACCTAATGAGTTGAACCGAACTGTTCGTGAACTTATAACGAGTCGAGTTTGAGCTTAAAAAAAAGTTTGTGTCGAACTCGAACTCGAACAATTTTTAACGAGTCGAACCGAGCTGAGGTGAGTTCGACTCGACTCGACTCATTTCCAGCCCTACCTAACAGTCACCTATGTTGGGCATGACAATCCAGCCCAACACAAGTGATTATTGGCCCTGCGTTGGGGTCTCTCTATAAATACCCTCTTTCACAAGAGGTCCAGGTATTCACTTCATAACCTCTCTTCTGTATTTGCTCCCACTCTGGTCCATTACTTGCTTTGGCATCGGAGTTTCTTGCAGGTACACCCCCTCCTCGTCCCTATTCCCTGTGAGCAGCTTGTAGATCAATGACACGTGGCAGGTCATTGGTCCCCTTCTGATCAGGTCAGATCAGAGGCACCGTATGTGGGAACTAAGCTTCCCCGTTCCTCCGAGCAGAGAACCAAAGCTTCTTCTTTTCAAATTCCAAGATCATAACTAGCCCACGTCACGATGACGTTGTTCCCGATTCCGCCTTCACCCCAGTAACCGACGACGACAACCAGCTAGGGACATCTCAAGCACGCGAGATCGACGTCAAGGACGGCCAGACTGCCTCTCCTTTGTCCGAAAATGCTACACATCACGTCGTTCCTCAGGTGAGGAGCCCGACGGTCTTCCAGCTCATCCCCACGCCCGCTGGGGCGGACCCAATGATGACCGCTCTCTTCGCGACCATCAACCAGACAAACCAGATGTTGTTCCGACAAAATGAGCGCATCGGCGCGCTGGAACAGGATACCTCGTCCCGCTCTCCTCCGCGGAGAAGTCAGCGCCGGAACTCCCGGAGCCCCTCTCAACGACCACGGAGGCGTCGACCACAGCTGGAGAGGCCTCAACCGGTGGCCTCCAAGAAACGAGCAAGGTCTCCACCCCGGAAGGAGAGGCGTTCCCCAGAGCCAATGGCGAACAGGCCTGAATCCCCGGCCAGAAGACCGAGGGGGCGTAACCCGCTTCCTCGACACGAATCATCACCTCCACAATCCCCGGTTCGCAGCGACGAGGACGACTATAGGACCCCTCTGTCACGGGAAATCATGGCAACCCCCATCCCCCATGGGATGGAAAAACCACTCGTACTATCGACGTACGACAGCACCTTGGACCCAGACAACCATATGGAGGACATCGAGGCGATGCTTGACTACAGAAACGTCTAGGGAGCCATCAAGTGCAGACTCTTCCCGACAATGCTGAGGAAAGGCGCCATGGCATGGTACAAAAGCCTGGAGCCTGAGTTCGTCACGTCCTAGAGGGTCCTGAAGGATCTATTTTCACGGCATTTCACGATGTCAAGGCGACACCCGAAGACGAAGGCCACGCTGGGTGCAATCATCCAGACCCCGGATGAACCTCTCAGGAACTACATTTAGAGGTTCACGAGGGAGGCGGTCCAGGTGACGACTTCAGAAGATATGAAGCACTACCTGATGGAGTAAGGCCTACACCGAGGCTCCAAGTTCTACAAGACTATGGCCATCCACCGGCCAGACACGCTCCAAGACTTCCTCAAGAAAGCCCGTCATTATATCTGGTTTGAGGAGACAGAGGCCGCCAACATTGCCCGTGAAACCCGCAACCGAGAAACCCCCCGCGGGTCCTGAGATGAAGGAGTGTCAGCCCCCCGGCACGGGGGAGACCGGCGACAAGAGGATCACCCTCGAGAATCCCAGGAGCAGAGGGGGCCCGTGGCTGTTTTACTGAATGCACGACCCTAGTCGCTTCCCGCGAGCGCATATTGGCTGAGTGCGCCAATTCGGAGTTTGTCCGAGGAGGTGTCAATTTTCTAAAACCGGTACCCACCAAAGCCAACGTGGACAAATCTAAATACTGCCGCTTTCACCGAAGCCACAGGCATGTAACTGAGGATTGCATCCACCTGAAGGACGCAATCGAAATTCTAATCAAGGACGGGCACCTGAAGAGGTACACCAGGGGAGGAGACGCCCCCCGACAGGAAGCTCCCGAGGCCAAAAGAGTCGGGGACTTTCCCTCTCCCGACAACGACTCCGGCCTACAGGTGGCCCTCAGCATTGGTCGGCCGGAGGACTGGTTCGCGCTAAGAGAACTCGGTCTCCCCACCGAGCTTCAGCTTCACGAAGAGCCGGTGCGCCCCGTCAGTCGGTGGGAATACTTCCCGAGAGCATTGGTCATTTTGGGCGGGACCTCGAGCAAGCTCATGATGGGGTCGATTAAAAGAAAGTTCGACGAACTAATGAGCAATAGCTCATGCAAGATGAGCACGCTCGATAAGTTCCGCGGACGATCTAACCCGATCACCTTCTACCTCGAAGAACTCCCCGGGGGAGCCCTCAACTCGGCCATACCCCTGCTGATACGGGCACAAATGGCCAACTTCGACGTCCGCCACATCCTTGTCGACTAAGGGAGCTCAGTGGATATAATGTATACCCACCTTTTCTCGACGCTTTAGCTCGACGAGACCAACCTGATTCCCTACCTGGGGTCCGACCTCCAGGGCGTCAACGGGACGAAGACCAGACCGTGGGGATACGTGGAGCTCAAGGTAACCTTTAGGGCAAAGGAAACGGCCAGGGAAATCAGCGTCCGGTTTCTGGTCGTTGAATGCCCTTCACTGTACAACTGCATCCTCGACAAGACAACACTAGCCGAACTAACCGCAGTGCCATCAATCGTCCACCTGAAGATGAAGTACTATACCCGGCTGGGAGTCGTCGTCACCCTCAACGGGGATATAGAAGCTTCCTGGCGATGCTTTGAAGCAGCGATAAAGGGCCTTAGTACAATCGGTCCCACGACCAAAGCAACTAAGCCCTCCCCCGTCCAGGAGAACAGACTGAAGGATCACGTCGACGCTGTAGACCTCGACTGTCATTTCACCGAAGAGCCAACTCACGAGGACACCGCCGAATACATTCCTCCAACCACCAATGGGCAGCCCATCCACCCAACGCACCTCATTCCAGACGGGGACTTCGAGATCGTAACCCTCGACGCAGACACGACGAAGACCGTGAAGATTGGGGCGGGGCTGCCCAACCTAGCGAGGAAGCAGCTGAAGGCCTACCTCCATGAGAATGCCGACCTCTTCGCCTGGAACGCTGTCGAGATGCCCGGACTCGGCCCTGAGGTCACTTGCCATCAGCTCTCCATCAACCCG